GGTGTCTAGGGAAGAAAGAGGTGCAGATGACGCGGAGAATAGTGTTCATGAGGTAGAGAATAATGCTATCGCTGGAAGTCCAATTGGGTAAGATAATTAATTAGTCATGTTGACATCAATTCCACACTAAATATGTTTTTGTAGAAGCTAAATGGGTTAAAGAATGAGCATTTCTTGAAATGTTAAGATTTCTTTCTTCAAACTATTCTGCCACATTGTTTGTAGGGCAAATGAGACTATGGGAGGGAGCATGGATGAGAGATTCGAGCTTATTGGTGGCAGCACAATTCCTCAGAGCTCTCATAATATGGAGATGATGGAGCCACAACAGTCACAATTTGGGGGTTTTGAGCCTATTGGAGACTCCACAGGTCAAGAAAGCAATCATCAACAGGAACAAGTTGAGGGTTTCGAGCCTACAGGAGGCACAATAGGTCCTGAAAACTCTCATCGACAACCACAGGTTGAGGGTTTGGAGCCTACAAGAGACAGCATGGGTTTAGAAAGCTCTCATGATAGGGAGGTAGAGTCACCAGTTCAGGGATTCCAACCCATAGGAGTCAGCACCTCTGCTGATGTGGAGGGGGGTAGGAGTGTCCAATTGAGAAACATAAGGTAAGTTATTCTCTGTAATAGTGTGGATGAGGCAAAGTTATTAAAGGGTGATTGATTATTAAGCATATATTATTTATAAGTCCATGTTTCCAACAGGAGTAAACTTGATCCACAAGTTATTGCTGCACTAAAAGGGCCAATAAATACTAGGCCAAGTAAGAAAAAAAACCACTCAGATGTACGAGTTCACACAATGCAAGAAGTGGGGACGGACATTGAACGAGATCAAACAATGCAAGAGGTGGGGAAAGATACTGACGAGACTAGTAGACAAGGGCATAGCAGTACATCACCCCTGGGTGTGGATATGAGGACGTCAATGTAAGTTTTACTATTCTTTTATACGTCTCGTTATTATACAAAATTATCATTCACTAGTCTTTTATCAAGGCATACCCGAATCAAAACTGAATAGGTATGAGGTGAATTGGTGTATCTGTCACAAAAAACCTCACAAAATCTGACAGAAACGAAATTTGCTCTGTACTGCCTCAATATTTGCCTCTGATTCCCTTAGTAACACCTATGCAGAAATGCAATTTTCTGAACCCAAAAAACTGCCAAGAAAAAGTTGTCCAGAATGAGCTTAGATCTTGAGAATGTACTGCTAGTACACTACTCTGCAACAAAAGTAGAAAGACATAGGTATAGCTCGTAATATTGAGGAAAGCGGCAGGATTAATGCAAATATTATGCCACTGTGTACTTCTGCTCCAATATTGTTATAAAATTATATGATAGCTTTTTAGGAACATTCAATTGATAAGATTGCTCTCACTTAAGATCACTGCAGCCCTTAGCATATTTGATCAATGAATTGCCTAGGTCACATGACTTCCCGGGTGGTTGCTCCAACATGGACATGGGAAGTCCTTCTGGCGAAAATGCACAAAGTCCAAATACACGGTAATTTCCTCTCTTAATATAAGTGATATTTATCCCCATATTTTAGAGTTTATGGTGTATAAGTTACACTAAATGATTGTATAATTGTACATACAACTTATTTTATTAGAATGATATGTCTTGTTATGTTCATAGTAATTTTTTTAAGAAATTGTCATAACTGATTGGGGTTTAGTTGTGAATAAATAATGATGATAACAAAATTTACCATTTTACAAATCAAAGTTGCTATTTATCAGCCCAATTTTTTATTCACGTGTTGCCTTATTTCTTCACTCTATATTAATTCTCAATGCTTGACTGATTTGCATTGTTTTAACTGTTTTAGTTTATCTGGACTGCTAAATACTCTGGACCAGAAAAAGAAGGAATTGAGGGCACTTGTGAGTCAAATCCTTATGAACAATGAAGATACATCTTTACGTCGGCAGCTTTTGGAAACTCTGATTTACTACAATGTCCTTACAGAGATTCCTACAGATTCTGATGCTTTGCCTTCTACAAAACTGGCGGAAAACATTATTTGTACTCTTAAAAGTAATTTCGGAGCTGAGCAGGGGCAGATAGAATGTATTGATCTTATCAAAGAAATTGAAGACATTGTTTCCACCACCTTCTGTATGAAAATAGATGATAGCGGGATTGTGGTCACCTTGAGGAACACCCCAAATGCAGGGTAATATTTTTGTTTAAGAATATATTGCAGGGTAATATTTCTGTTTATGAAAATGTTAGAAAGACCTGGTAATACAATTCAAAGTCATTGTTTCAGGACTTTGGCACAAATTGAGAGCCTAAGGCTTGAAATCAATGAACTTAAAGAAGAGGAGAAAAGAATTCAAAGAGAAATCAGGTACATTTATTTCATTGTTTACTTTTTCTACATTGTTGTTACTAAATTGTCTAGTTACGTTGAAAACGGACAAGGTGCTCTACAATAAAAACAAGAAGTTTTGTCTATTCACATCCTAATTAATTCTGTTTTTCATTTCTATTTTGCTGTTAGGATTTAGGAATTCTGTTGCTTTTCTTTTACTCTCTTTCCCTGTTTTACCTATTTTCTACTTTCTAGTGTTGGAGTTTATGGGTCTAATACAAAGATAGTAAATGTTAAATAGCTAAGTTTTGAGCTTGGAAAAAAGTTTATGCTAAATAGATTCGTGGGCTAAAGAAGCATTGTTGCAGCTTTCTAAATGAGTTGAAAAGTCGAAGTCAGTTTTTCTTCATATATTTCATGCTAATATTTTTGAGAAAATGAGAATATGGAGATTACCAAAATATTAGTAAAATATGTCATTGTTGTAAAACTTTGTTATTGCAGGAAAATTCCTTTGATTGATACTCGTGCTAAAAATTCTTACCGTATGATGTTATTGTCTTACAACGATTTCTTGATTCTCGCCATCCCTATCCCCGTTATCAGTTCATGCTTTTGACCCCTTCTTTTCCCTTTTGTCTAAGCTGTAGGCATTGATGCAGAGAGTCCCATTTCCTTTACCTCATTCTGCTTTCCAACCTGTAACATGTAAAGATGAATCCTTCTCTTATAGGGTGCCATGTTTCCTAAAATTCACAAGTAACGGTAATTTCAAGCGATGCCTTTTGTCTATCTGAATATGGAAAAGAAGTGTGCCAATAATTCCAAAACTAACTCATAACAGAACTTTGCTGAGTATTGACCCTGAGTGTTTCTTGATGTATTCATTTCTGATTTCACTTATTCAGAGATAAATGGTAAGTTATTGATCTTAGGCAGCTTAAATGGCAAGGTCTTAAGCCTATTCCTTTTTGCTTCTCATTTATTTGTTTCATTTTGCTTCTGATATAAAAGGGGTTGCGGACAATTTCAGTGGCTTTTGGAACAGATAGGATCTATCGAGTGTAAAATATTACAAAGAGTCATGTTTAAAGTCCTGACAGAACTCTTCTTGCTTAACCTAATATGTTTGCGTCTGCGTAGTTGTGGATTGGAAAGTTTATTGTTAGGTCAGAGAACAGCCCGAGTATGATACTTGGATGTCATCAGCCTTACCATATTCTGCAGTAGTTAGACGATACTACCATGAAAATAATTGACCAGTGTCATGGAATCGTGTACTGACTATTCTGTGATCTTCATTGACATTCAAAAGCTTTGTGTTGGAAATGGATCAATTCCCTAAGACTTTAGCCCCTACATAGGCAGTTAAGATCCAGGCATAGGTGTATAATAGATAGTGCTAAATCTACAAATTCTTGGCGTTTAAAGATCTTTGCTAAATTTATATGAGTCAAATACTTTTGTATCGTCTTGATCAGTTGGAGATTTTTCATTCTTTGCTAACGAATTCCCTTCTCATTCCATTGCAACTCTGTAAAGCTGTGTCTAAAATGACAGGATCATCTTCCTTTTGTAAAATATGCCATTAGTATCACTTTTTGTCCCATGCTTTTTTGCTCTATTAAAAGTTTTTCTAAATGCTAAAGTAAATGTTTTTCACTTCACAGTGGGCACCCATTTAGCAACGAACCAGAAGCTTGAGGTAGTGGAACCCAGCGATGAACCAGAAGCTGAAGCTAAAGTAGAGGGGGCAAGCAGCAATTGAAGAATCCACATTTTAATTCTTGGAACTTTTTATCTGAAATTACAAATATCCAAAGTTTAGGCTAATGTCATTCAATGTTTTTTGCATTACATTTTCTCGAGCAAAAATTTTTTGCTTGCTGATTAAAAGCAAACAAAGAAACTTAAGAATTACTTCTCGTATTATTAGAATCAATTAGTCAACTATGGCAATTTCTTTGAAGTTTCTTCTTTCAACACTGTGTCTCTGATCTCTCACGCAGAAAACCTATAAATTGTTGCCAAATATTGGGTTTGAAACGATAGGAATCCATTTTGCAATCTTCCAACATTATAAGCGAAATTTGCAGCAACCTCAAACATAAGAATGATAGTCCCCTCCCATGAATAAAAAGCTTTCCAGTTCAAGCAGAAGACGAAGAACTCACAGAATGCAAATTATACCATTTCCACTACATTTGGTGGTGCCACAAATCGTGGAATGGGTATGTGATTTTTCAGATTGATTTTCTTCTGCAGTTCAGATTTTTGTACTTCTATTATTGTTCCCAAAAATTATAAATCATATTCTTAGGACTTAACTAGTAAAGAAAAGCTTATCAATTATGGACCTATAGCCTGTGAATCATTGCCTTGAAAAGATTCTCTAGAGAACATCCAATGGCTGGGTGACCTGAATGGTACGCGTCAAACTAGCTACGATCATCATGGAAAAGCGAGCTACCCAACAAAGAGAGATTTTTTATAGCCAATAAAAGAGTGCAATGACATTTGAAAAACAAAACTTTTGCAGCTGTAATAAAAAAATTTTCCAAACGTAGCAACTAATTTGATGAGAAATAGAAAGTTATAGATACCAACAGAAAATATCAAATACTCCTATGCTCACAAGATAATGCAAGAATGAAACCACAAATTACGACTAAGTTAATCCAATCCTTCATGATCATGGCATTGATAAATTAATGGGGAAAGAAAGACATCTCACAACAATGATGCTATTCTAGTTCCAACCAGTCTCCCTTCCCTCTTCTTCCATCTCACACCAATATCTTTTTTTTTTTTTTGGAACAGAAAAAGAAGCAACTAATTAGCTGAAAATTTTAGAGAAACCAAGCTCTTGACATGCGGAGTATACCTCCAACTCTCATTCATTTCAAAAGTGCTACCCTTATCCAAGTGAAATGAGTTGATCACTCTTGTCTTCACATTATACGTAATGCAGTTTCTTGATGGATGTGTCTTATGACGGCAATACCTTTCCTGCGGTATCCCATCTTCGTGTGCAACATAGAGGACTGCAATCTCCCCATCTTTCAGGAAACCAACAGGCACAATTTGAAATCCTGTCGGACACAAAGTGCGCCGAAGCATTTTCTCCTGAGGTCCTAGATCAATAATGGCCAGCTTATCCCATTCTCCAGTTTCTGCATCTTTTAGCAACCAGAGCTCCCATGAAAACTTTCCCAAGTAATCCATGAAACAAAGTGACCGTCCAGTTCCCATATAAGTTCTCCTATTCATCTCGGAACATTTTGGAGTGGCACGAGTGTAGAGGATCTCAGTTTCGAGATCTAAATTAAGAACCAAAGGAAGCTTATAATGTGTCCAATGCAAAATTCCTTCTGCACTAGCAATTGGCCTCTTGAAAAGCAAGTCAATGAAACTAAATTTGTCAATTTCCCTAGTTTCATTCCGTCGGCAAAGGTACCTCCATTCTCTATCAATACCAAGAGTCAGTATCCCACCTTCCAATGGCCCCTGATGATTAAAGTAGAACTCAACCAGTTTATATTTCTTTGAACAAGTACATCCTATACCCGAAAAACTTGGATTTGCCTTGGCTGCAGCTAAAGGAGGAGGGAGGGTTACAACTTCCTTTGTAACTAAATTTGCAACATAACGATTTTCCTCTTGACTTTTAGCCATCAAGACCAAACCATTACAACTACTTATGCCATATCTTGGCAAATGAGAAGAGGCTACCTCAATGATCTCAGGAAGATCATGCTTCACCATTTTGACATAATGTATATTGCAATCTGGATAAATTTGCTTGATAAGCATGCCCCTGTCCACCTTTAGGAGGTGTGCATCAATGAATGTAGGACTAGAGATGATGTTGTACCACTCTCGACAGACATACCTCATCACATTGTAAAGTATGTCAGCAGGAAGGTAGACAAGAATATTGAAGATAATTTCTGGCGAAAGATAAGGTATAGAAGGCCTCCGCCGTATCTTCTGATCATTAGCATGAGGATATAAGGTATGCCTCTTAGATTCTGGGACGCAATGGGATACATTACATTGCACTTTCCTGCAAGTAGGACGAGGACGGAGGTTATACCTCTTGAGCATATGATCAACCCCCTTAGCCATCTGGACCACAAAACACTGAAGTCAATGCTCTACTGCAAATATTCGTTAACACTCAGTTAAACTAAAAGACACTTAAAGAAGGGAAATAAGCGGGAAAAAGGATAACTGGGGGAGAATTAAAACTAGCATAACTATGTCTCAGTTGAACAAGTCTGCAATTGCAAACTGTTTATAAAATATGCACAGCATTGTTAAGGCCTTTATGTAAACAAGGTACGTCTCTATACACGTAAAAGGATGAAACACTGTTCAACCATATCTTTTTTTCTCTCTTTTTTAAAGCGGTATATTGATAGCCACAGTTCCAGAACTTCAAAGTTACACCAGAACTTCAAAGTTACAGGACATTGAACTTCTTTATTGTATGTCGCCACTGTTAACAGTAAATACTAATGCATTCCAAATACATTCTAAATTTTCAAATTCCAATAGCTGATCCAGAAATGAATTCAAAAGGATTAATTGGTCAATACAAGGATAGCATTAGTTTTGCCATGACTGAAAACTGAAGCTACTATAGACTTTAATGTGCCACTATTAAAACTTAAAATGATAAAAATTGTATTGCTGTGTTCGTATTTGATGTGCATAAGTTCGAAATCAACAATCAAAGCTTTCTTGAATGCTGCATGGGAAATTAATGGCAATATGCTGTGCAAAGATATCAATTAAGACAAAGTAAAGATCTACTTTTTTTTCCCTATTTTTGCTGCACAGGAAGTTGATGCATATAATAAACAAAGATATCAATCAAAACTTTTTGATACAGTACTAATAAAGATTCAATCTTTTTTGTTTTTACACTTTTTTGTAGATAATGCCCCTAACAATTACTATAAAGGCATCACAAATCCATTTAAAATTGTCATATTCCAGAATGAGCATTTCTATACCAACAATTGAACAAAATTGAGTGCATTTTTTGCAGTTTCAAAAATTATAAATTGAATAATTGAAGAAAACAAGTATCACCACTGTGACTGTGAAATGTGGTCGACGCTTTAAGCAAATCGACAACCATTTCCAGCTTTACCCCCTCCTCTCTCCCCCCCCCCCCCCGGCCACCCAAATCCCAAGTAGCTGATGCAGGAACAAATTTTAGCCTAGAAATTTATGCAGGCTAGTGGATTCATTCATTCTCCAGAACTTGTGGATCCCAGAAAATTAGAGCTGGATATTCCAAAAACCCAAATCACTAGAAAAAGCCAAAACAAAAGCATAATAAATAAGCCGAGCGCTGATTATTAACAGATGAAAAAAGGGAAGAGTTGAACTATATTTTTTGCAGGCAGAGATGGTCAACATTCAACAGCTACCGTTATAAAGCAGGGAATCCATTGCTTATCTTGCATTTCATCTTTTTTCCAAAACGAAATTTCCTACCAAGTTGGAAAACTAATAAAAAAGTACTGCTCCAAGAAAATACTAGAGATAATTCAAGAAAAAGCACCTTATATAAAGAGATGCATAACTGAATAACAAACTGGAAAAAAAAAAAGAAGAAGAAAAAGCTTACTCCAAATGGTGATCTTGCTCCTAATGCTGCAGTGTGGAGTCTCTCTTCGGAAGAGAGACGTCCAATTTTCTCACAACCGCTTCTGACTGGGTTAGGGAAGGTGATTTCGGTGGACATGAGATTCAAAAGGGCCAAAGAATTTCTCTTTTTTTGTTAGGAGTAATCTCAACTCAAAATAGAATCCCAACTAGGGTTAAGAAATTTGTAGAAATGGAAAATGGCGGAATTTGGGAGAGCGATTACGGTGTGATGAGAATAATTGGGATAGTCAATTTGTAGGAATCGATTAGGTAATTTCCTAGCGGAAGATATCGTAAAATCTAAACCATCAATCACAACAAGATTATATACATAACACAAAATGGAAATAGTATAGTATCCGATGAAATCTTTGAAGTTCTGGAACTGTGGCTATCAATATACCGCTTTAAAAAAGAGAGAAAAAAAGATATGGTTGAACAGTGTTTCATCCTTTTACGTGTATAGAGACGTACCTTGTTTACATAAAGGCCTTAACAATACTGTGCATATTTTATAAACAGTTTGCAATTGGAGACTTGTTCAACTGAGACATAGTTATGCTAGTTTTAATTCTCCCCCAGTTATCCTTTTTCCCGCTTATTTCCCTTCTTTAAGTGTCTTTTAGTTTAACTGAGTGTTAACGAATATTTGCAGTAGAGCATTGGCTTCAGTGTTTTGTGGTCCAGATGGCTAAGGGGGTCGATCATATGCTCAAGAGGTATAACCTCCGTCCTCGTCCTGCTTGCAGGAAAGTGCAATGTAATGTATCCCATTGCGTCCCAGAATCTAAGAGGCATACCTTATATCCTCATGCTAATGATCAGAAGATACGGCGGAGACCTTCTATACCTTATCTTTCACCAGAAATTATGTTCAATATTCTTGTCTACCTTCCTGCAGACATACTTTACAATGTGATGAGGTGTCTGTCGAGAGTGGTACAACATCATTTCTAGTCCTACATTCATTGATGCACACCTCCTAAAGGTGGACAGGGGCATGCTTATCCAGCAAATTCTTCAAGATTGCAATATACATTATGTCAAAATGGTGAAGAATGATCTTCCTGAGATCACTGAGGTAGACTCTTCTCATTTGCCAAAATATGGTACGAGCAGTTGTAATGGTTTGGTCTTGATGGCTGAAAGTGAAGATGGAAATCGCTATGTTGCAAATTTAGTTACAAAGGAAGTTGTAACCCTCCCTCCTCCCTCAGCTGCAGACAGTGCATGTCCAAGTTTTTCGGGTATAGGATATACTTGCTCAAAGAAATATAAACTGGTTGAGTTCTACTTTAATCATCAGAAGAAATTGGAAGGTGGGATACTAACGCTTGGTGTTGATAGAGAATGGAGGTGCCTTTGCCGACGGAATGAGACTAGGGAAATTGACAAATTTGGATTCTTTGACTTGTTTTTCAACAAGCCAATTTCTAGTGCAGAAGGAATTTTGCATTGGACACATTATAAGTTTCCTTTGGTTCTTAATTTAGATCTTGAAACCGAGACTTTCTACACGCGTGCTGCCCCAAAATGTCCCGAGAGGAAAAGGAGGACTTATATTGGAACTGGGCAGTCACTTTGTTTCATGGATTACTTGGGGAAGTTTTCATGGGAGCTCTGGTTGCTAAAAGATGCAGAAGCTGGTGAATGGACTAAGTTGGCCATTATTGATCTAGGACCTCAGGAGCAAATGCTTCGGCGCACTTTATGTCCAGCAGGATTTCAAATTCTGCCTGTTGGTTTCTTGAAAGATGGGGAAATTGCTGTCCTCTATGTCGCACACGAAGATGGGATTCCACATGGAAAGTGGTACTACCATCATAAGACACATCCATCAAGAAATTGCATTACATATAATATGAAGACAGGAGTTATCAACTCATTTCACTTGGACAAGGGTTACGAAATGAATGAGAGTTGGAGGTATATTCCGCATGTCAAGAGCTTGGTTTCTCTAAAATTTTCAGCTAATTAGTTGCTTCTTTTTGTGTTCCCAAAAAAAAAGGGAAATTAGTATAAGATGGAGGAAGAGGGATAGAAGATTGTTTGGAATTAAAATAGGATCATTGTTGTGAGATGAGTCTTTCTTTCCTCCGTAATTTATTAATGTCGTGATCATGACGGATAGGATTAATTTGGCTGTAATTTTTGGTTTCACTCTTGCATTATTTTCTGAGCGTAGGAGTATTTCATATTTTCTGTTGGTATTTATAACTTTCTATATCAAAGTAGGTGCTACGTTTGGAAAATCTTGCTTTACAGCCACAAAAGTTTTGATTTTCAATGTCATTGCCTTCTTTTATTCACTATAAAAATTCTCTCTTTCTTGGGTAGCTCGCTTTTCCATGATGATCGTATCTAGTTTGACGTATGTACCGTTCAGTCGGATGTTCTCGAACTTGACTCGTGTAGTTTTGGATGTCAGACTGTATTTAGCTGTTAAAAAAACGGGGCATAAAAGCCTGCGTTTTCAAGCCATAAGGTGAATGTGCAGATTGTATTTTGGGACACAGAATCCTTAATGGCATAATGGAGTGATTGCTCGAATATGTTGGGCCTGAAACGGCCATTAACTACAAATATGGGGGTGGCAATTTTTTTTTTCCAAATATGACTTGGTCTGCATTGCAAATGCATTTTTCAATTAACTTTTTATCTTCTCAAATACATTTTTATTTCATATACATTATATCGCAAAAAATGTTACAATAATTATTTCAAATAATCTCCAATCTAGGTACAAGGTTTCCTAACACCAGTTTAAGCTTTGACCTAATCATCATTACTATATAAAAAGTATAAAAGTTAGTATTAGGGAGTGTAAGTACTTTTTAATCTTAGTTTTTGCTATCCCTGAATTATCCTCATGTCTTTTAATTATAATTACTAGAAGCACTTGAACTGTGCAAAGCACAGTTTGGGCCCCCTAGAAATTTAGTCGAATGCATGGCACCAAATTATTTTGCCACATGATAAATGAATAGAAATATAGGAGAAAAATTGAACATCAAAGCAATTAAAATTGACAAATATTATTTGAACTCTCATTTTTGTTAATCATACTTCCGCTATTATTTTTATCATATACCTTTTGTTTATTGTAGGAATACAATTAACAAAATATGGAGAATAAATAAAAATTTCTCTCAAAATTTGTTGTAAAGAGAAATCCCATCTATGAATTCAACCTCCCTATTTATTGTGATTTGAATAAAGATTTTTGAACCACTATTGTATGATACCCAAAAAGGAGAGAAAATTAATACATTATAAGTGCATTGATGTATTAATAATAGTATAGTTTTAGTTAAAACTAAATCAAAAGCAGTCGTAATACTTTTAATACTTTAATAATGAGAAAAAGTTTAGGAAGCTGCTAAAACATGGCACAATCTTCAACATCAATATAGCTTACTATAAACTTTCATATTTTTCTTTCTTTTGATAGAAGAATCCAGTTCATCTATTTAAATTCCGCCTAAAGGTGACAACATTATCCTGTAGCTCCAGAATATAAATAGCAAGATTAGATAAAAATATGAATTGCTATGTTTCTTGATCTACATATACAAATTAGAATTGAACTATTTTTTATTGCAAAACCATCTTCCTAATCAAAATTGAATTTTCTAACAATTTTTTGTCAAGTCACACTCTAGGTCGAAAGTCTCAATTGTGACTTCCACCACCGACTGCAATCCTTGAATACCAACCCAATTGATACTACAACACTTAGAGTACTTAAAAAACAAACAAAAATTAACTTTAGTTTAAATATATACAAAATCTTATTGGATCCTTCAATTAAATTGAATAGGCCATAAAGTAATTGCAAAAAAAAAAAAGAAATGGAGAAAAATGGAGATACAAGGATGCCTAGCTAGATTTATCTTGGTGGAAACATCACATGATATATCTTTCTCCTAAAAAAATACACAAAATTGTAGATAATTACAAAATGGAACCAAAAAAACAAAGAAAATGAAACAAAATGTGAAGTCAGAAATCAAATCATGGGAGGATAAAATAAAAGAATGAATTTTTGTTCTATTATTCATAGAAAATGATCATTGGTATAAAATGAATTCTAAGATATTTTAATAGTTCACCTTTTATCCATGAAGAACTATCAAATAAAAACATCATCCTATAAATTTAACAAACAAATGCCAGTTGGCTATAACATTATGATCAAAAAATAGAGCAAACATGAGAGATTAGAGATGAAGAAAAAAGGAAGAAAAGAAATTGTAAAATGGGATAAAAATAATAAAGAATTCTTTTTGCTAAGTAGCTATCATCTTGACAAAAAAAAAAAAAAAAAAAAGAACATGGCAACAATCTTAGTTAGATTAGTTTTAAAAAATAAAAAATAAAAAAGGTGAGGAATGACAGTAGTTACTGCAAGAAGAAAAAGAAGAGATGGAGTTGATTTTCTCAAGGAGAAAAAATATTTTAATCCTTTAACCCAATTGAATCAAAAAAGGGAAGGAAAAATTTAGGTAAAATAATCAAAGGTCCACTTGTCAAAAATACATGCAATACATGTGTTAAAAAAATGGTTAGCTACAGTAACTTGGATTTCTTTTTATTTACAAGGTAGGTAGACATGTGCGATAAAAAGATAATTAAAAAACATGTTCACAGAAAACTTAAAAATTTATGATAAAAAAATTTATTTTCATGGTAAAATGCAGGCTGCGGGCTGCAGCTTCTGGTATTGTTTTCATGGGTCACGCAACTGCTCTGAGTGGCTACTGGCTAGTGTACTAATGAGAAAGAAAAGAAACGGTCCAATGTCAAAAGCAAGAGAATGCTTCAGACAAGGCTTCAGACAACTTGTAGAAAATATTTTACCTTTGCCACTTGTTAGACAATGAAGAAGCCATGTGGCAAGAGTAAAGGCAAACACTAAACCTTGCTTTTTTTCTTATATACAAGGTAAAATAAAAAAGGTGAGGAATGACAGTAGTTACTGCAAGAAGAAAAAGAAGAGATGGAGTTGATTTTCTCAAGGAGAAAAAATATTTTAATCCTTTAACCTAATTGAATCAAAAAAGGGAAGGAAAAATTTAGGTAAAATAATCAAAGGTCCACTTGTCAAAAATACATGCAATACATGTGTCAAAAAAATGATTAGCTACAGTAACTTGGATTTCTTTTTATTTACAAGGTAGGTAGACATGTGCGATAAAAAGATAATTAAAAAACATGTTCACAGAAAACTTAAAAATTTATGATAAAAAAAATTTATTTTCATGGTAAAATGCGGGCTGCGGGCTGCAATTTCTGGTATTGTTTTCATGGGTCACGCAACTGCTCTAAGTGGCTACTGGCTAGTGTACTAATGAGAAAGAAAAGAAACGGTCCAATGCCAAAAGCAAGAGAATGCTTCAGACAAGGCTTCAGACAACTTGTAGAAAATATTTTACCTTGCCACTTGTTAGACAATGAAGAAGCCACGTGGCAAGAGTAAAGACAAACACTAAACCTTGTTTTTTTTCTTATATATAAGGTAGATTACATTTCAATGTAGCACTAATTAAAAGAAATAGAATACTCCAATTGATTACATCTCAATAGTATTGGTAATTATAATTAAAAATTACTCATTAAAAACTACTTACCTTACCTTGGTTTCCATCTCCAAA